GATATTAAATCAATATAAAATATAGACACCTCAGCGGTTTTTAATTATAGCTTCTTTTGCGGGACCCCTGATTTATAGGCTTCCTGTGTAGGTTGTCACGCATTCCAACTAGGTTGTAAATGTCAAGACATTTTGGCTTCGACGTAAATCGCAATTATTTACAATTATTTGCTGCAATCAAGTAAAATGTCGGTCTCTACAGCTATTGCGACTTGAAAAGAACACAAAGTATGTACAAGAAGTTATCGAAGTCGAGATTTAGAGCATGGTGAGTGATTTCGACTAATGATCGAACACTTACTGATGCAAAGGCGTATAACGGACCGAATCTTTACACAATATGCAAATTTCACCTTTTTTGTTCGTGTTAAATCAAATCTGTATCTCTTCTTTCCTATTTTCAGGTTAACTCGGCGAATTATCCAGTTTAGAACACGATGTTCAATCTTTGACACGATTGGTAACAAAAACTAGATTTGCATATACTAGTCTTAACAAAATTATCTGTTTAAATTCAAATTCGCCTCCCAATGAAAATATTTTACATCAAAACACGAAAAAAGATTCTTATAGTTTAAATGAAGTCAATTAGAGTCTGTTTAAAGGAGTCTAACTGGTATTTTGTATGTGTTAATTCCATTGAATTTTGTGATATTTTCGAAATAGGGTGAACTAAATACGTCATATCTTTTAAGATTAATGAGTGCCCACCAATGTTTTTAATGTTTTGATAACTAGAGACATAGATCTAATTGGGAAACAGTCATTTTTTAAAAAAATCGATGTGCATTTTCAAAATATTGGCTCCAAAACTACACAAATTTTCAATAAATTCAAAATTGGAAATTTTTGTGTTCAGTCATGTGGTTGCTATGGCAACGGATTGACAGATGTTTGCATCTGATACCTGATATCAGTAACTGAGATGTATATCTTGTATGTMAAGAAGTTTGAGGTTGCTGTGAATAACCGTTACACTTTTATGCTTCTGCAAAGTTGAGGTTAATTTGTGCAATTTTTGTGATAAAAATGGCCATTTTCCAGGGGGGAACCTAACTTCCCCCCTCTTTTGACCGATCTCAAAAAAAATATAGAATGTCAAATAACTTACTAAATGCAATAAGTGTGCCACAGTTGAAATGTTTTAAAGCAATACACATTGACGTCATCAAATTAGCATAATGGATTTTTAACTCCGATTTTCTCTGAAATTTGAAGCCCTGCATCRAGTGGTAATTAGCCAACCTGTTATGCTCGTTCTATTGACTCTATTTTTCAAATAAAAAAAATCGTGTCATATGCACTTTAATCAAAGGAAAACATGCCAAATCATTTAGCATACAATATATTTCCTATGTGTTTACTTGGAGGTATCCCGGCTCAAAATGCAAGAATTGACGACGAAGTCACTGYTCGCATCAGCAAAGCTGGTTGTGCGTATGGCCGCTTACAACATCGCCGCAAGGGGCGGATTTAGACTAGTTCAACTAGTTTCCGGAAACTAGTCGGATTTTTCCCAAAAATGAAATAATGAGCGATACTTTAAATAGAATTATAGAAACGAAAAGAATTAGAGAGTATTTTTCCGTATAGCTGACATAAACGATCGCTTTGGCCGCCATTTTGAAAGGTTCACACAGGGAACGCACATTGAATCTKCCATAAAAAACAACTTTTGCCTTATTGTCTTTGATGGATGTCAGTGTAATTGCAGTTTTGATGGTTGCGGCGTAGATAGCGATTCCTTATTTTTCCGATTTGTCTCGAACAGGGTATGGATTTTTACTTCTAGTGTCTGTCTTAAACAGGGTCAGGGTTTTAGACCGCTGGCGGCACGTACCTATCCCCCGGGGGTATGTGGGACGACAAGAGTGCTTTGTAAAGTAATTCGCGCATGATCAGTTTGTCCCATATATCTCAAAACTTATTTTTATGGCAATTTCTCCAAGAATTTTAACGGATTTGAGTTTCAAATTGGTGTTGGAGTTTTTGAAGACGTTAAAATACGGTCAGGTACTGATAAAACACTCTCTCTCGTGTTTTAAATTATACTTGTACTCCTTGTACTTCTTTATGAAGGCCCATCTGTAATATTACCGCAACATTCGAAAAAAACGGCAAATTTGCTAGATTTTAATATATTTCATATTATTTTGATGTTCGTCGCCGATCTGTAGACGCCTCGGGAAACTTTGAATATGGCCCAAACACATGTGAATATTAGGCAAATGATGCTCCTTAGTTCCATTGCAATAACAACAAGCAAATATAAACAAATTAAATAAAATTTAAAAAATTAATTCCTTTTTTCTACTCAAATATGTTGAGACAATAAAATTGTATTATTTACAGCTATCATCTCTACACAATCGCAAGAGAAAATAAGAGCGCTGGTGGATCGTATGTGCTGGAATGATAAATAAATTATTTTATCATAAACTTGATATTTTTTTATTGTACAATAAAAATAAAGAAATAGAAGGGAAGAAGAGAGAATTAGAAGAGACATTGGCAGTCTGGACGCTAATTAGAGCAAATGTTTACAGTGAATGATATGTATTGCATTTGCATCTTTCCCATTTTTCCCATTATTTGATGTATTCCCTAGATGACATCACCTTTTTCTTGTTTTCAAATATTAAAGTGGAAAGTAATACTTGTTTCCCTTTTTCGAGAGATTTGCTAAAAGTGAGCTTGAAAAAATATATTGTTTTTTCATACGTCACAAACCAAATTTCCCTGCGTCTGCGAGTCTGCCAAAATGATAGCAAGCATATAGCTTGATGTAAATGATGTACAGTAACTAGTGTTATTAGCTCATTTTATTATAATTGTATTAGCCTTTAGGAATTATCATTATTATTATTCGACAGGGACAATAATGGTGCTCCTGGTTGAGGTGACGACAAGCAACATTGAAATAAATGAAAAAGATGCATAWTATCTTCAAGAGCAGCACAGTCAGTGAAGAACATTGGCTTTCTTATCCTATGCCTTACATTGACGTTGCTGTTTTACCCCGCGAAGCTCGTTTACTGCCAGTSGGCAATTAAATAGTTAATTGAGGAGAATATCAATCATTCGCTGTCATATCAAATACCATGCAAGTCCAGTTTTAATATAGTAAAAAAGAGGACTGATACGAGGCTAATAAAGGTGAAAATACCAACGGCACTTCAGGTACTTGCATTTGAATGTAGCTTAAATGCCATCGTAAAGCATGAAATCTCTTTTTGATGGGGAARAGTTTATTTTGAATAAACCGTTTTGAAAAATGCATAATTTACATGAGAACTGTTCTACCATATATAATGATTAGCCTGTTCTTTGTTCTTACAATACAAAAGAGTTTGGCCATGGATGATTATTAGCTATTCGGAACAATTGAGAGCCATTTTGTTGAATCAGTCTATATCGCTTTCATCTGAAAGCAAGGTTACCTTTCAAGATATTTAGCACATGAATTAAACCACGAGGTCTAGTGGACCGAGTGAGCTACGAGTTGAYAGTTCATGAGACCGTACCCGGTTGAATGGAGTATCAAATCTTAGTATTACCATACTAGTGKACTATTGCAAATCCTACCTTCTGCTGATTCTGATTGGCTACACTACTCGGGGTCTATTTTCAATAATCCTCGACTATTGAAAAGCGCCAAGTTTGATTTTCGTTTAGAAAATATTGTTTGTCAAATCGATGTGTTACGTTAAATTTTTTCAAGTCAAACGACGTCGGAGAAATATTTCACTCATTTTTTACCAAGAAGTATGATAATACTAAAACAATTAGACCTCAATTGGCCTCGTGGACTACGAACTGATAGCCTATTCGGCCTCGCTTTCAGCTCGTAGTTCACTCGCCCTCGAGTTTTATTCGACAACTTTGTAATAGGAACATAAAAATATTTTATCTCAATTTTATTTCGGCAACTATTTTGTTGTTGTTGTTGTTGTTGTTATTATTTTTTTTTTTTTGCTTTTCTTGATGCTACAATGAACAATGTGAATTCTGTATATGTGATAGTCCATAGTTTGTTGGATGCTAAAAGTGAATTATACTTCTGTTTTGTTGATTATATCAAATAGATAATTCATTTAACTCAAAACTGACAGTAAAAGAGCGCCGAATCAGTGCTACACGATTGCATTGCATGTGTTTGAAGTTTTTAGCCGTATATATTGATGAACATTTACTAACTTTTTCACTTATTTAGATTCTAGACGAACGATGTTAAAACTCGTAACTAGTAAATTAAGCAAAAAACGAAGGTTTATTTGAATCCAGCGGCGATCCCCCCTTTCCTGTAATCAGCCAAAGCCAACAATTCACCGTTCTTCTTCCTTACGATAACTTGAACTACACCCATAATCTGAGCCGGGGTCCCTAGAGAAAGCATATCATAAATGAGTGAATAGCACGAACCTAGGAATAACAGATGGGATAGAGATGGTAAGAGAAGTCTTCATTGAAAGACCTTCCGACATCCTGAAGTGAAAGCCATCCACTCCTCAACACTACTCGTGCCCAATCTTGTCTCGCGGCAAAATGTTRTTTTCTTGCAACTTAAATGAATCTAGATTTCCGATTGGCTGACTAAAACACTGGTAMTTTTGTTGCAAATCATGGAATCCCGGTATACTTTGCTCAGTAAACTTCCAACAAAATATTGTTTCATGTGTGGAAAAACGAGTAACATGGCTTCTCAGCTCGTTTTGCAGTACGTAATTAATGTTGTGAGATAAGTTTAGACTTTTTTGCTCGCATTACCGTACCTTTCGATTACCGGTAATGGGACATTTTCCGCGCTTTTTAATCAAAAAGAATTGCATGAATTGCATTACAATACAATACAAAGTATGACTTTGAGACGGCAACGTCACAAAATATTTCATTTTTAATTTTTGGTTTTATCTATCTTAAGCTAACCGGTTGTTGGTTTATATTGATGGTGCAGGTATTSCCCCCTTCATTTGCAACTGCGCGTTATTTCCTGCTAAAAATTGTGATCTCTCGTCCAAGTCATTTAAGCTACTATTTTACACATATTTGTTTTTAAGACATTTATCAAGGTTTGTGGATGTGAGGGTAAATCCAATTGTCCTAACGGCTAGCTCATTAATTCTTTTTCTTAAATTTCTTAAATCGATCAATAATCGATCCTTATCGGAAAGATAGCTGATGAATTATTAATGAGTTGTACATCAAACTAGATACTTTTAGGGCGGTTACTCTGGCTACATCGCAGAGCAGAAGTGATAAATGACGTAATATTCCGTGTTGAATAGGACACATCCCAGCATATGCTAAGTTTTGTTTCCCCAGGTTTGATTGATATTGAGCCAAAATGAGAGAAGTTGCATCCCATTTTTCCACGGTCACGTGATATRTAATCACCTTCGGCTGTAAACAGCACATGATGACTATGTTGTCCAGAGTTTGTTTGACGAATTTCTATTGACGTTCGTGATAATCTTAAAATTCACTCGTGATATTTATCTCATAAAGTTGTATCACATTAAGTTTGAGGAAAGGCTCATTTACAAAATAGTCAGCCTCTTCAAAATCTTGGGATAGCGAGGAACAACTTGTAAAATAAATCTATTTGTAGTGAACTCTTGAACATAATGTCCCACACGTATKGGAGTTTAAGTTTATCATAATACTCGATACTAAATCCGATAATTTCTAAATGGRTGCTGGGTCTTTGTAAGGACTGATAAGTAGTTTTCTTAAAAAACTCTTTCATCCTTTAAGTCCGGCAAGCCATTCTGCAATATTTTCAATATTGCTGTCTGTTTTGAAGCAGGCCAACCTGTTTCTGTCTGCATTCGTTGGTGTAATGCAGAGGGAAAACAATGGGTTACGATCGGTATCAGTAATTATATATATGAGGACAGACAGCACAAAAGAGGTTYAAAAACTCATACATAATTTATGAGTTATWAKGYCAATAGAATGAGCCTATTCGGTCACATGCATGGAYSTTTATATCTGATAAAAYACTCCTTATTAGTATTCTTTATATAAAGAATACTAATAAGGGTGACCTTTATCAGGGTCCATGACCCTAGCAAAGGTCTTAGGTTTGAAACCTGATCATTGACCAATGCAGGATGTCAACTGATTACAGCAAAACAGCCACCAGCGGTTCTATTTTACTTTATGCCTATTCAATGTGGGATGACAAGAGTGCTTTGTAAAGTGATTCGCGCATGATCAGTTTGCCCTATTTACCTCAGAACATATTTGTACGGCAATTTCTCCAAGAATTTTAACGGATTTGAGTTTCAAATTAGTGTTGGAGTTTTTAAAGAGATCGTGTTTTATCAGGTATAAAGATTTTCGCCTTCGGCTCGAATCTTTATAGCTGATAAAACACTCTCTCTCGTGTTTTAAACTATGCTTAAAGAATGTTTTTTAATTTAAAAGACCCTTTTGATGCAGCGAGTCAATTAATTGCGTCTTTTGGACGACTGGATTCTCCCACCAGAAACAAGACCCCTTTTGTGATGTACGCTCTCATATATATCTAACCAAGACGTGCTCAACGAAACTATCAAACCTTTATTTATTCGTGGAAGTATTCATCAAGGTCATAAACGTTTTAATGACGTTTCAAGGGGAAGACAGTGTTCTTTTATGTGTTCATAGTTTCGCAATCGCAATTGCAGATTGGAATTAGCGAAACAGGTAGCTTGAAAAAAATCAAGTTGCATCACACGACTGCAATGCTGACGTGACCTAACATCTGTTATACGTGAAAATGAAATAGCTACTCGCAGCACTCACTTTCTATTAGAAATGACTAGTATATCATATATATTTGYTAAAGAAGGCCGAAGTGCCGAAACGTACATCAAAGAGTAGAAAATCAAGTTGCAAGTTGYGTGTATTAAAAAGTTACCTGTGAACAGTGCTGTATCGTTAGTAACGTAACGATGACCGTATTTTTTAATCTCATTGATTATCTTTCCATCAAAATTCTCCTCCACTAAAACCATTTCTGGGAAAAGCTGTGAATGTAAGCGCGGCTTGGCAATGGCGTCTTTGAGGCTGTCCCCAAACCAATAGTAGTTCATAAACACCTGCATTAAAAACGAAGTTTTCAGATGAGCGTCATTGTGATGTTATAATAGCTTAGAGCTCTACCAATTTAATGTTTTAATGTTGTTTAAACTACAATAACSACATGAATATTACAATGGCATAATAACGAAATAACTTTTGTGTGGATGGAAGATGTACATGCAAAACACACAAGACTGGGTATTAATGGGTAATTAATTCAATACAACTGTAAGGAAGCATGGAGGACAGGCYCAATGAGACACAAGGTGTTGGCTTATTGCGATTATCGGCCGAATGTCGAAAATGTTTTTAAAAACTTATAACCTATTTTTCGAGTTTAATATATATTCTCAAACGTTTTTCAGTGTAGTTTAGTATTACGTAATTTAAAATTTGTGACGATCTTTTTTCTGTATAGTGTCCTTGATCACGTTCCTCGTTAAAGTAAATATACCTATCTTCCAGACAGTCTAAGTGGCATATGCACGGAGATTAGTCAWATATACCTGAGCAAGAGTGGTAGGAATGTACCGCCCCCCTGCTGCACCAATGACCATCTGTAAATCATCATTCTTGTCCAATATCATGGCAGGAGTAGCAAGTGATAATGGTTTACGGTGTGGCTTAAAGCTGTCTGGAATCAAGCCGTATTCATTGACCCAATGGTTCATTGCATCTGCCAACTGGTCGTTGAATATGATGCCATACTTTTTGGAACGAATTTTGGATCCAAAACTGACAAAAAGGAGGTACAGYAACAAATCAGACWACTAGCYCATTAGCGTGTTGTACACTTAGGCTTGATAATGATGTATTAAAACAATAGTTTTCAAATACGTTACTTTGTCTTCCATTGTGTAATCGATTCAGGTTCGTTAGTACTATTTCATACACTTGTTTTGTAGTCCCTTAGGGTACCAAAGATAATTTTTATATCACAGAATTAAAATTCGTATACAATGCTCAAACAACATGGCTGAGAGATTTTCGTTTAGAACAGACAACGAAGTTCAATAAGTTAGGATTGATTATATCAGTTTTGCTGTATTAAACGCTATTTCTTTCGATGCTTCATTTCGAGTTGGCAAAAGCGTAAGTGCAATGTGGTACTATAACAAATTATTTTAAACAAGTGATCTTTTATAATATTTTAATGTGACTGCGCATAAATCTGTCATAGGCATTTTCGTTTTTTTAACTAAGTGCACAGGCATGCGCAGTTAGGTAAACAATGTCCCACATGCAAGACATGCTAGTGCCAGATGGTGTAGGGGAGTTGTTTTCAGTAGAATCTCTTTTAAGGGGTATCTAGTCTRCTATATTTACATTGTGCACTGCATTAGGGAAGTATAGAAGGCAAAGGAACTCCAATTTTTCTCATGAATAACATGAGGGAAATTTAGAAGACAAAGCCGGATCCTTTCGTCTTTTACTAAATTACCCTCTATTTAATTTATGCAAGGGAAATTTAGTATTGTCTTTTACTAAATTTCCTTTGCATTAATTAAATAGAGGGAAATTTAGTAAAAGACAAAAGAATCCTTTGTCTTCTAAATTTCCCTCATGTTATTCATGAGGGAAATTCGGGTTTGTAAACCCCTCGGAGGACAATGGAATCCGAGGTGATCATGGTATTACTTATTTTAAACCATCTATCATGCAGATATGAAGGGGGATTTCAAACGGAACTGTTTTAAAATAGCAGTTTGCCAACACACACCGTTGCATGGTCCCAACAACTCGCAACGCTAGATGACGAAAATTTAATGAGTTTAATTGTTGTCTCGTGTACCATGGGATTTGGTATTAAAATTTATAGATAAAAAATATAAAATTTCATCGTTTTGCATCATTGCTCCTGAAAGGTGACCGTCAGTCGACTAAGAGCTGCTTTTTCAACTTAAAAGTTAAGTGCGATAAGATAAAGATTCCGATCACAAAAACAATTCATTGATGTTTGCTAGAAGAAATTGTCAAAAAAATTGACGTTTACAGTGTAAATRATRCCCTACTCAAATAGTTTTACAATTTAGGGTTTTTATTATTATAGTTTCGTTTGTTTTCTTTCTCTCTTTTTTTCTCTTTTCCCTCTATATTCCTCGGAAAGTATTCGAATAGGAAACCGAAAAATTTCAATCACACCACAGAAATTCCAAGAATAGTAAAGAATGAACTAAAGAGACTTGGAGAAATTAATCTAATGGTTTCAGACTTACTATTTGTTGATCGAGCTTGTCARTGAGACGCCATTTCCATCTTTGTCAATGATTGACAGATGGGTGGTACCGGAAGTGATAGGAGTAACGAAATTAATCGGTCCGTAGTATTTGATGCCATGTGACTTGGCATCAATCTTTCTTCGTAGCTCCTCAGAGTACTTCGGATCCAACATTTTCTTGATGACCTTCAGAGTATTAACAAAAATTAATTACTCGAGGACCGGCCCAAAGGGCACATATAGATTGACTATGTATTACATCATTCAATGAAAATATGCAAATGAAAAAATGATGTTTTCTGTTGGAAAACAATGGTTCATGTCTCCTGTATATGATTACAACACAAAACCATCCATTACATTATTTAAAAGGTAGGGGAGAATAGCCAATTTTCACAAGAAAATGTGTGTAAACGTGCAACGCTTTGAAAAATCAACAAAGATATTAATTAAATATGCAACGAACCCCCTTAAAATTCATAGTTCCATCGCCATAAGACATATCTTGAACATATCTTTTGTTCACATAGCAAATTCGATTGTTAATCTATTTTTCTTTTTATGTCAAGTATTTCAAAATGTCGTCTAGAGTGATATCATGATAACGTGATGGCCATTGACAAAATTATTTACTATAATGAAAATATTTTAAAAAAAATATCATGTAAAAATATATTACTATATATAAATAGACTATAGTATCTAAAGACTCTGAAAGCAAAAGCGATCTTTCTTTCTATGAATAAAAATCACTTTAACATCTGCATAACATGCATATTRTGTCCGTTTTGGCTGTCGTTTTCTTTTGGATACGGTAGTATTTAGCGTCTTTATCAAAGAAAAKCCAGGGAAAGCATACCTCGCTATTTTTCTCCACAAATTTTGGATCACCAAGGTATGTTAAACTGGCGTGAGCAAACTTGAATGCTTCAATCATTCGATGGTACGTCAAACCTGGGTTATTTTCCATGTCTGCCTTGGAGAAGTTGAATCCTGAAAAGGAATGATGTTAAAGTACCTATGACGTAAATAATAGCGTAAATGTGTTTTGAATCGTAAATTTTACCATGATCGGCATTTTATTTTGTCATCAACCAATCAAAAATGAGGAAGTAGGATGAGGAAGAGTCGATCTCAAAATGCTATGATGGCGAAAAAAAAAATCCGAATAATTTGACAAAATCTGATTGGCATAGTTGATAGTTGATAGTTGTCAYGATAACACTTGTCAAGYTGAAAACATCWTATTTCTTTAGCTAATCCACAAAAATGAAGTAAAAAATAAGCTAAWTGAAAATGAGATGTATGGTAAAAGCGTTATTGGAGGGTCTCAATGGGGTGGTACGCATCACGACTCACGGCTAAAAATTTGGCTATTTCAAGACTCACGACTAATTTTTTCGAATCACAGTTAACTAGATTACATTCAGAAATTTTTGAAATGAAAACAATGTTTTTTATTACTTTTTCATGTAATTTGTTTTGTGCTAGAGATAGTGAGTGTGCAACACAGTGTCCCCTTGTACGTTATAAACACTCAGTTATTATATTTTTTTATCATCATGCATTCTCAAATGTCAAATTTTTTCCATGCCCTGATTGGCTTGTCTTGATCTTATAGAAGTTTTGATCCATTAGATCTTTTAAAATTCTCGATCCATTAGAATTTTGAGGGGGTGGGATGGGGTGGGTGCGCGGACGGTTTTGGAAAAAAATTCCTGCACGGCCAAAAAGGCCAAAAAAAAAAATTCTGGTAAGGAAAAATTTTGAAAAATCTCCACTCAAGCTTTTATTTTTTAAATTGACAAAAAAACAAAACAAAACAAAACAAAACAAATTACAAGCGCGCGCCTGGAGTTGACTGTCCTTCTGAGAAATAAAACTGAATCACGGCTCACGCTATAAAAAAATATTCACGCCTCACGGCTATTTTGTTCTCATTTTCACGACTAATGGCTAATTTTTCAGCCGTTTCACGGCTCACGGTTAACCCCATTGAGACCCTCTTATTGATACATCTTAGCAAAACATCCAAATACTTCCCGGGGTATCTTTTTAAAAAAGAAATAGGTGCAAAAGAATTGAAAGCCAGCGCTAACCCCGAAATTGTAAACACTTTGTAGGTTAAATTCGATATCTTGTTAACAAGGTTCAAGTCTAAAATTCTGGGTTTATAAATAAGAGCTAATTATAGGGTATGGAGGCAATAATCCACGTACATTCCAAGATACTTTCTATCAACGTATCAAGTTTGGGGGCTCATTAAATGCAAAATTATTGACGTCATTTAAACGTCAATAAATAGAAATAATTTAATAGAAATCAATTGTTTTGAAACAAAAGGATTGTAGAGAGATGTGAAAAATAATTATCTGATTTATGGGCCTAAAGTTTGAGTGAATCCTCACACTTTGTCAGCAAACTGTGCTTGGCACGTGTCTCTCCTTTCGTATTTTCCTTACCTTGTTACTGCCTCTCTCATTGATATAACACGGTTGTCTTTAGAGAGGAAAGAGACGCTTGCGGAGGAGGCTTGTTAACATTATATTTTACGTTAAATTTTCGGGTCACCTTTCTAATTTAGCCATAGTCCTAATATCTTAACTTACCACTTAAAATTTCCAATGCTTGCGACATGACTGCTCCACCTCCAGCTGGTGGGGGAACAGACAGCAACTTTGAGCCATTCATGTGACCAATATTCGCTTCCAGAGGTTTCTCGTCGACTGATTTGTACTCTTTGAGATCATCGACGGAAAAGATACCACCCTCAGCGTTTATTTCCTTGACGATTTCCTCTGTGAAATCTCCGTTGTAGAAAATGTCTGCACTGGCGCTACCGATCATTTTGAGAGTTTTGGCGTACACTGGRCGTTTAAGAAGATCTCCTTCCTTTAACATTTTACCATTTTTGGTGAAAATCTCTCTGACAAATAATGATAAGTATAAGTGATTTTCATATTGAAAACTTACAACAAACTATAACATAGAATTATATTAACTCGTTACTARCAAATAGACACCGAGGTCAATCTAACTATCACCCGTAGTAGACGTGACTTATTATCCATAAGACAACGGAACATGAAAAAACGTACAGGAATAACTTTGCTATTTCTTCACCTTCCTTTGTGCAATTATATTCTATCATAAATAGACCATCGTTCAATATGCTCTAATTCCAAATCTGTCAACAGATCAACTCGTAGTCCAGTCAATCACGTGGTATAATTGTCACATATTACGAAGACCAGACACACTACATTTTCAATAAATAATGAAAAACGCTACAATGTAACATCTGCTATCGGGTTGAACGTAGAGTGGTTGATTACGTGAAGATTTTGACAATGCACTAGTACCGGGGTGCTTTCTACTTGGTTCAAAATCTAAAGCTTCTGAGGACCGTGAGGGGTCTTGGCATTCAATCATGAAATATTGTAATTAAAATTTGTTATGAATGATCACGAATAAAGATTGCTTGCTGGCTTTTTTAGAATTTAAAATAATGATATATGCAAATGTTTTTTTTTTGTCTTTATGTCTTTTCAGCGATAAATTTTACTCTAAACTAGCAAGGAATGATGCCATATTTTAAAATTGATTGTTTTATTTTTATCTTATATTTTTTTAAAATCTTAAGAGCTACTTTTTTGAACGAAGCTTTGAATAAAATGCAATAGCTGTTCAGTGCACTGTTTGACGTACCGGAGTGTCAAAGCTTGCCCTTGCATCGGCCGGTCAAATATGTATTTTGATTGGCTAAGATTTTTCTATGTTTTTCATTGATTGCTCATTTGTTATGACTTTTTGTCCCGGAAAATTGAAGAAATAATGTAAAGTCGGTAGAAATAATGCCTGGATTCAGCGTCTACAAGAAAATGAAAAATGAAAATACAAAAGAAAACATGAAGTAGTCTATCACCATTTACTAGTTACAGCATGTACTAGTACTGTGAAAACACTGAAGACATGAATATCCGTGAGACGCTTGAAGACACAAAGAAAGCGAAAAAGACTTGCATTGCATTGCAAACTGCATTGTCTCATAAAAGTTACTTTGCAATATTTCAACGAGCCACCATTTAGAAATTGTAAATGACATATATAAAGCTTATTAAAAACCAAAACACTAGCTGATAAAAAAACAGTAGTACATATTGTTTTTGTATCTTTATTACCTTGTTACCGTTCTTTCTCGCTCGATTATAGTGAGCACGAAATGAGAATTCTGCTTTCA